GCCCGCAGCTGCCGCCCGTCACCGAGCGGCCCCGTCAGGGACAGCTGGGGCGTCCCCCGCAGCAGAGCCCTCCCCGCAGCTCCCTGGAAGCGCCGGGCAGAGCCCTGGCCCGGGCACAGGCACTGGGAGGGCAGTCAGGTGTGGGCACCTCCATCAGCCCCTTTGTCCCGCGGGAGAGGACAACCCCGGCAAGGCCCTGGGGGCGACACAGGCACGGCCCTTTTCCCACAAAAGGACTGCACTGGGACCCGCCTGCACCTAGTGTTTATCTGGTCACAAACAACACTCCTCGCACAAGAGGAATAAACAGTTTGGGAACATTACCTACAGCGATTAGGGCAAGACTTTTAGGCAAGCAAGCACATCGCCTAATACTTACCTGTGTCATCTCCCACAAAGCTTTATTCTGCTTCAACATTGTGGAGTTCACTATCCTTTCTCCAACCCTTGTATACATGTGCTTAAATGAAAATTCAGTTTTTAACTACATGGAAGAATGACAGCATTTGATTTGCGTGTCTCTGCTTCAATTCTGTTACCCTTTTGATACAGCTTCGAGATTCTGCATGACTATCAGGACAGATTGCATCCCAGATGCATAGTGAGTGTGCAGGAGTGCCTCAGGTGGCTGTCACCATGTGGGAGTCATCACCGGTCTCTGACCACAGCAGAGAGGACCAATGGACACATACTGCAGTGAAGAAGCCCGTGGTTTGGGGCAGAAGTACAGGAGGGAGGAAGGGAGGCTCAGTGGGGTTTCTTCTCCCCGTCTCCTTGCTAGGCCAGTCACAGATGCTCCAGGAAATACCTTGGGGCGGCACTAATTGTACTTGACTCAAACTGGCCTTCAGACTGTTCGGCCCAAGGGTTAAGCCTTCCCCAGGACTCAGCAGCCCTCCCAGCCCTGCTGCTGCCACAGAAGTGGCCTCCCGCAGCCGCTGCACCTCAGCCCCACTCGCAGCTGCCCGCCTCCTGCTCCTCTGGGCTGTGGCCGCAGGGCTAAGCGCACACCCTGGCCCGCCCCACGCTGCCGAGGAGCCTTCAAGCCACATGCGGAAAGGACAGCTCAGCCCTGCGCTCCGCTGCTCCACGCACACCCTGCCCTGCGTTCTGAGCACGGATGGGGCCAGGCCCTCACCCTGCCAGCCCTCGTCCTGCACAGCTGCCTCTGCGCAGCAACGGCCCCAGTGGGCAGGACACAGCCCGATGCCCACAGCCACCCCAGGGGACATGTTCGCCTCACTGGGGCCCCACATTCTCCACTGCCCACGGCTGCAGCTCTCATCCATCACCACCACTAAAAATAAAATTAATGAGTGCCCATTTATTCACCAACACATTCTCCATCTCTATTGAACTCTCAACGTCTTACTGTAGCAGAAGTTGAATTCCAAGAAAAATTAAACTCTATGACAGTACTAAACTGATTTTACTCTACCACATCAGAATCCAAAGTCATCTGTAGCACTGGGTATTGCACAGAGTGTGGTTAGCAGCATTGTAGGAATACAGTACTTTCCAGTTTCTCTGTTGCTGCAAGACTAGCTTATTAGCTGCTGCCTTTTTTTTTTTTTTTGTAGTTGGGGATTTTAATGACACAGAAGACAGAGGAGAAATGTGCATTTTCACATTTGGAAGCTTCATAAAACTATATCTTATTTTAAAGAAAACAGACATCACCGTGATTTAGATCATTCCTCTCCAAGAAAGGTTTGCTGAGTATGGGAATGTGAACATACATAAATCTATTGGAAAAATTAAACACTAATTTCTATAGGCTTCCTTCGCCATGCAATACAAGCTAATCAGTTTCCTGCAAAAATGTCTCCTAATGCTCAAGATCATCTAAATGAGGAATGCATAAAACACTCTAGTGCAGAAAAAAAAAAAAAAGACAAAGCAAAAAAAAGCGTAAAGAAGTAACTGCTACATTATACAGCTGAACTAAAGAAGGACATGAACCATCATATATTAATAATTCACATACTTGCATAGTTGTTTTCAATGTAATTTTAATATACTCTACGACTAGCAAAATGTCAAATGAAGGTCACATCCAGCAGCGATTTTAGAGTGACAACTTCGGTATTTTAATACATTCAGCTTCTGAGAAAAAAAAAATCAACAGAAATGAGTTGGTTAAAGCGTACCTTCAAATACAAGCTGATTTCAGTACATTCCGTTTGCCCCCACTGCAAGAAAACTTCCTTCAGCTGTTAGCCATTCCACTCGTCGCAGTGCGGGAAGCTGCTGAGAAGCCAAGGAGCCGCACTGGCCAGGCCTGGGCCGCGATAGTTGGAAAAAAAACGGTTTTCCTGTGGAAATGTCCGAGTGGGGCCCGGCAGCTCCTCGCCGCGGCCTCTCGGGCCTCATTTCTCCTGCTGCGGCTGCGCGGGGTCCGCAACCCGCTCGGAGAAAATCGCCTCGAGGCGCTCGTCGATCTCGGAGCTGTCCCTGAGCGCGCACCAGAGCAGCAGCGCGGCGCCCAGCAGGCTCACGGGAAGCACCTTCCCCCAGGGCCGCTCGTGGCCGCTCCCCATGGAGCGGTCCACGCTCCACACGCGTGGACTGGCCTTGCTGGCCGAGAACT